TAAACACTAAAGACCCCCAAAGAACTTGCTAGATTTGCTGAACATTAAAACCTTGACCAACCCCAACCCTAAAAGACTGGTTCCTTCAAACCCCGAGGCAATCCACTCGAAAAGTGCCAATTCGCTTCGCAACACTCAACGATTCATCAAGCCTGACTCAACTCTGAATCAGCGCCCCAAGTCTCGTCCTTGGCTCCCACACAATTTCCCATCTAACCCACTCTCACTCTCTTTCCGTGGACAGGCGTGTGCGACACAAGATGAAGGGGAAGCCGAGGGGTGCAAGCAAGTACCGTCCCATCGAAACCCACAAAACCCCCCCAATCCAAGGTTGCCAACCTCACTGGCCCTCCCTGCGTTTCCAGGCCCTCCACAGACACCCGATATATAGGGGTGACAAGAATCAGACGGTGATGGCCCCGAATGGGCGTAGTTACCGCAGTGCCGGAGACCTGTGCCCCTCCCAGCATTTCCAGGCTCTCCACAGACACAATGTACAGGGGTGACAGGAATCAGACGGTGATGGCCCCGAATGGCCGTAGTTAACGCAGTGCTGGACAACTGTGCCCATATATATGTGTGCACATATATGCCCGTATATATATACCAAGACATATATGTCTTGGTATATTATGTGCAAGTTTGGGATCCATCACACAAAGAGAACGCAGCCGCTGAAGCGCGTACCGTTGAGTCCGGCGCCCTCTCTCAGCAGCAAGCACCAGCTGGTTGTGGTTGGAAAACGGTGGGATTGTAAGAAGAAATTCCCACATCTGAAATGGTACTCTTCCTCTTCAGAATGTCTCAAGAATGAAATCATAACTACCTACGTTCAGGGCCTGCTGTAAAAAAATACTTTTTACACGCACATTGCGATTAGTCACAACGCGAGCCTTTGAAGAGCTTGGCCTAAATCCAGAAAGCAACTTTCAAATTGTAATATGTCGTGCCCCTGTTCGATTTGATTCCAGCATGCCAAGGATACACAGACGTGGTCAGCAATCAATCGTCTGTGCATTTACTGAAGCTTCTGCGATCGTCGGATATTGAGGTTATTGAACATCGTTGCGACGGCTTTTGAAATAGGGTGCAGGGTAAAGAACTAGCTGGCCATCAATGTGTGACACCTCGCCCCACAGAGATTAATGATAAGTGTCCTTGCGGGATTGAAGTGAGAAAGCCGCGCCTCCGTATAGTCTTTGAATTTGTCACTTTTCCCTTCTTGTTTTCCATGCTATCTAAATTTTCCCACATGCATTGATAGTTGATTGAATCGCAGACGTTTGGAAAGTCCTTTCAAAATAAGAAGAGATTTCTTTTGTGTGCGATGAGCACCAATAACTAGAAAGCGGAGAGGTGATCGCAGCGTAAAAATTGGATTTGGAATTAAATCTAGCATGAAACTTCCATTTTAATGAGCCATCTGAACCCCTTGGCAACACATCTGCACACATTGCTCTTGGGAGAATGAAACAACGACACGAAGTCAGTATGATTGGCAGACGAATTCGCGATTTTCCGGATAATGGGTCGGATATTCTTGTATGTTGGTACCAAGACCCCATCCGGCGAACTTATAGAAAATGCATCGATATTCTACAATCGTAGAGAGGAAGTGAATAAGCACTGCTGGTAAATATTTTCAAAGCTGAGGACGAGATTTGGAGGCAGATTGTTATTTCCAGTGCCTCGCTTCACTCATAGAAATATTTTGGTCAACTTTAATTCAAACCGATGTAGTCAATGCGATCGGGTGAAAATTTGCAGAAGCCGCTCTCGTCCAAATTTGCAAAATATGATTCACAAAATATCGGCGTGGAAATCATCAGACATGCACGGACAAGAAATAGTCTGAGATTGAAACAAACGTCCAGGGTGGCGCTGATGCAGAGGTCGGAGCTTTTTTCTGATGTGGTGTTGAAGTTTGTTTTACATATCGTACATACCGAGGCAAGGAGGTAGCCATCCGCTTCCTAATTTTCACGCAGAAGCGCTGTCCATGATTTGTTCATTGAATTCCCAAGCACAGCGCAAACAATATCCAGAATCAATCCGTGCCCGATGCGTTTTAACCCATCCTTGTTATTGAGTAAATTCTTGCATGGTCTTGGACTTCAACGCGCAAACTGTGGAAACTGAATCTTGTGCACAAATCAGGAAGTTGACGGCCTATTCCGGGGGGAAGGACCCCCAGCCCAGTATTGAACTTTTCTAGAATCAATAATGTCATGTACCCATTCAAAAGGAATAAAAAAGCTCGTTGACTACCAGTTCAACGCCGGGCGAATGCATGAACGCGGCATTTCCGTGCTCTACCGATTTACAAATCGCACAAGCAAAGCACAGCTGCGCCCGCCGGGGCCCGGGGATCCAGAGCGCATCGGCCGGCGGCCAAACGGCGAGGCCCGCGCCGGTCCTGGCGGCGACTTCGTCAACACATCGTGTCAAGAGGCCTCGGCTGGGGAGGCGGAGCGGCTGAGGGCGTGTGGGTCGGGCCGGAGGGCCCAAGGGCGAGGTGGAATGCCGTACGAGCTCTTGCGCACCTTCTACGCAAAGGCGGAGGACTTCAAGTTCGAGGAGGCGATTCTAGAAAACAAAGTGTGAGTTTGGGAACGGGAGCTGGTTCCGCTGGTGTGGGAAAGTGAGATGGGGATGGCAAAGGTGGCGAGCGGGGTGGGGTTGGGTTGGGTGGGGTTGGGTGGGGTGGGGTTGGGTTGGGTTGGGTGGGGTGGGTGTGGGGTGGGGGGCCTTTTTCTTGCCGTTGCTGTTTCCCTTGCCATGAACACAGATTGGTGGCACCCTCACTTCCAGCGCTTCCTGCCACCACTCCCCGGGTTCCTTGATGCGCTCGAACCTCAGACCAATGCACAGATGGGTGTGAGCTTGAGGACTTTTACACGCATTTGTACATATGAGGAATGTTGTGTATATTTGTGGGTGAATTGGAAGAAAAGTAATGTCAACGCGCAAACATGCAAATATATAAAAGTTCTGGAGCGTGAGCGACAACCGTAGGTGGGCCTGTTTGGCTTACTGTGCTGTTTTCTTTTTGCGTTGGCCAGGTGCACGGTGTACCGCGCACGCTGCGCGTATTCTAACGGAGCGGTGAACCTTAAGTCCTACAAGAATTTAACCGACAACGTCAAACGGAGGGTGCTCCAGGAGATCAGGCTGGCTCAGGCGGGTCAAACCACAATGTATAATTAATTTAGTCCAATTCCGTGTTTATAAATGTATGCAGCAAGTTAATCAGGAGTATATGAAATGCAAAACGGAGGGAAAATATTGTTTTCTTTTGATGTTTTAGGAATTAACTTTCACGGATTAAACCCTCCAAAAGCAGCGAAATCGCTATTTCGCACATTTACTGACTTTGATAGAATGATGCTCATTTTTTAAGCCTTTTGGTTTCTGCCTGCGAAAATGGGCTACGCCGTCCCTTTTCAGGATGTCGTTTGGCATGCAAAGGCCGCATGTGCATGAGGCCGCGTTGGCTTCACGTGCTTGTAACGTTCCCTGCAGAATCTACCCAAGGCGCGTGCCATGATCGCTTGCAATACCGACCGAAATTTGCTGAGTACAGATCAGCGCAGCGCGCATGGCAACACTTCAAACCACGGAGTTCGTTTTGTGATTCAGAATTTCCAGCGTCTCGCTGACGTCAGCTCGGATGCCGTACCAGAGTTTTGCGCATTCTTACATAATGGGTTATGCCAATGGAAGCAGGATTATCAAAACTGAATACAAATTTGCATCAAAAAGTAAACAAAATGTTATTAAATTTGTATCGAAATAAGTTCTATCAAAAACAGATCAAAATTAAAACTAAATGATTTTGCGCTCTACAAGATAGATACGCCAACGCTCCTGCACCCTAGGCGATGGCGGGAATATGGGCTTGTGTGAATCACCGCGCATCATTCTCCTTATCGTTATGTGTTCATTTCTTCTCATCCACACAGTAAGAATTGAATCTTCGTGTCGCAGGCCGGCTGCCCCTTCATTCAAAGGTGTTTCGATGCCTTCGAGGACAAGTATCAGTGGTGGGTGGTGCTTGAACACTGCGCAGGCGGCACGCTCCTGGACGTGCTGAGGCGGATAGGCAGGGTGGACAACGAGGGATGGCTGGCATCTCAGGTGGAGCCTCATTTTGATGGGGGCGTTGACGTTAATTTTATTGACAGCAATATCAACGCCGATCGGAATATCTGTTGGCCGACGGCAGTGGCCGGCTGTTGCCATTAGTGTTAAGATAGAGCCATTTTGGTGGCCGTGATTGGCGAAAGGACGTGTTTTCTCGCCGTTAGGTCGCTGAGGGAGCCAGAGCGACTGACGGCATAAGGACGGGGGGCTTTCGAACATTCATATGGTGGGCAAGGAGCAATGTTTGACAAATGTTATCGAGAGCTTGCAGCAAGCTCTGCTTGGGAGAGGCCAGAAAGACTTGACCTCTCTCCACCCTCATCCACGCTCTTACAAGTGGCACTCTTCTTGAGCCCGAGACATACATTTCTTCAAAAGTTACTTTGGATATATAATACGAGTTTCGCCATGCATTGCTTGTTGTGTACTGAATTAAAATGAACACCACGTCCAGAAACATGCATGTATGTTTTACTAGTGTATTATTGTATGTGCAGTGAATACCAGATGTCGCCAATTCTGTATCAAGTCTCAGGCTGTTTATTTACGTTAGCGGCATCATTTCCACGTTTGCATTTACGTACTTTACGGCATGTTGAGACACCTGAATTACACGATGAAGTTGCTAAATATGATCAGTCGAGGACTGTTCGAAGGGGCGGACCGTTGGGCACCCGCAACACAGTGTCCACCTCGCCCTCGGCATGGGCACCGAATTCGTTGAACATGTTTGCTTTCTGCTTACTCCAGCGCGCCCGGCTGCCGCTACCCGGAATCCCTGAGTCTGCATGTGCTGTCTTACGTACAAAGAGCTTGCTTTTACTTAATTTTCCGCGTAAATGCGTAGACGCACGCTGTACGCCACAAATAACAAGACTGTCAATCTTTCTCTCACTTCTTACCACTCCACCGCAGATCATTCGCCTTCCTATTCAAATCTAGGGGCACACGTGTCGGTCTGCATTTTCGCCATTACAAAATATGACGCATCATGCATCAAATCAACGAGCATATATGCCCGTTTGAAACAAAAGGGATGTCAATATAGCACCAACAGCAAGCGTTCCAATCACAGAAAGCATGTATCACTAAGCTTACTTCGCTCTTGAGCCCACCCCAGGTCATCCACCTCATTCTCCAGACCTTGAGCTACCTCCACGGCGAGTCAATCATCCACCGCGCCATAACTGCCCAGAACGTGCATTTCAATTCCAACAAGGTGCTCAAGCTGGGCGGCTTGTACTTCTGCGTGGACACGAGCTTTGGCCCCGCCACGGACGTCGTCGGTTCGGTGGACTACCTCGCGCCGGAGATCCCCCAGTGCCTTCGAGCGGGCCACGGGCAGAATCCCAAGGCGCACTACGACTTCAAGGTTCTGGCTGTTCGCCAAGTTTTAAATTCAGCAATCAAATTGATAGATTTGGTTGCCAATTTTGGCAAATTTTTGCCCTGAATTATGGCCCTGTTTGGTTGGAAAATTTGGTATGAGGCACAGGAATCCACAGTGCAATCGTGCCATGGACGTGCTGTGACCGTACACGTGCCCACTGGCACTGGAATTCGCCATGAGTTGTGTCTGTTAGTCGGATATGCTCAAGTCAGCGCGCCCCCCAATGACAGCAGAGGCAGCAGCAGCAGCACTATATTCTAATATTACGATTGCCATTAAGGGAACTATTGCTATTGGAGAAAGTAATTGGAAATATTTCCAATGAAATGGCGCCGCTGGCCGCTGCAGGCTGACATATGGTCGCTGGGAGTCTTGGCATATCAATGCCTTGTGGGTCGCTTACCTTTCTTTCGTGACAACCCGGACGAGACGATCAACGCAATCTTGAACGATGATCCCGAATATCCAATGTATCTGTCGGAGGTCTGTGTGGATTTCTTGAGACTGGTAGGTCCCGCTCTTATTGCCATGAGCCTTAATCAGAATATTATAATGATTGATTTAGACACAGGATTGTTCTCTTCCCCAGAGCCCAGCCAGTAGCGCTTAGCTGCCGAAGTGAGAGCAGGTACTCTAATTTTGTGAATCAAACTCTGCTTGCTGGGCGCTGGGCCATTCCGTAGGGAATGGCTCTTTTAAGCAGTTGCATAACGTGTCCATCGCGAAATATCGAGGTGAAGTGCAACAACCCGCATCGCTGTAGTGCGCACTGCGCGTTGCATAATTGAAGATTTGACAAGGACTGATAAATGCAGTATTTATCCTCTGTCTCAACTAAAACGAAACAACTTGTTTGGGAGGCCATATTTGTACCACGCACATACTTTTTTCATGAAATCTTGGACAGAGAGCTGCCCATGAATCTGTCATACGCTGTAAAGTATTTTTGCAGAACGGATAAGTATTGGTCAAATGGTTGTAATTTGAGCACACAAGACTTTCCCGAAACACAGAATTCCCACGCTGGTGGCCCACCCCCGAAAACGGCCGTCCGACAAGGTCGCTTTGCGACTGTAGAGCATAATGGACATCTGCGGCCGCCGCTGCGACTGCAGGTCGGAGGCGTTCCTCTCGAAGTGCACAGTCCTCGGAATCTGGTTCCGTACTGCTCGATCGTCGATCGCGACCACAGTTTCGACAGCCCATTGAGCGTTTTAGGTTTGGATCGGGAGCCGAGAAATCGGCGAACTTCACAACCATGGCCTTTCGAAAGGGGCTGCCTCCATGGGCGGAATGACCGCAAGTGTTTAGCCACCGCGAACAGTTTGAAGAGAGACGATTGCCGGTTCGCCGCACAGCAGCGAAAAGATCGCTGGAAGCGGCTCTGCCTGGCACAGGCCACAAAGAGCACTTCGAGTGCCATTGAAGCCGCTTTGAAAGAGGCTGCTGCAAGATATTTTAGATGCCGTCCTTGCGGGATGCAGCAAAACAACCACTACCACTTGGGGTCTCCGATGGACCATCCACACCCTCCATCGGTCGTGTTTGGTGGGATTGATGCCCTTTTGTGGGTATGTGTCCCTTGCGCCAAACATGCCATAAATTGGAAATCGGCAACGAACGGAGAGCGCCCGGGACACGCAACGGTTCCAAGGCTTGTCTTCAGACATCAGGAGACATGTTAGAAGCGGCAGATCCCAGATATGTCCTTGCGTCGCCGTGGAAGCTGGCGGGGATTTCCGCAAATCCGCGATGGCGAGATGGGCAGCCATGTGACACCTCTGCCAGTTGTCCATCTCGATGGGTGCCGACCGTTGCTCTATAACCTGAGATAGGTTGGCCTCTCTACCCTTCCAGTGCCCTGAAGTCCAGAAAGAGGGGCTGCACGTGTGTGTTGGGCCATTCCATACCGGGGTGCCGTGGGAGGGACCAAATTCTGGACCGGTGTAGCGCAGGTTTAGTGTATTGATAATGCATGAATATTACCGAATGCAGTGTACCTGATCGTTCCCTTTGAATTTTTGGCAGCAGCTACCACATGTATGCGGCGGTTGCATTTTGAAATGCACGAAAAACAAACGAGTAACTGATGCAAATTCAGCCTGCCAATGGATGCTTCATTTAATTTGAGATGAAGGAAGTACATCATATCACGAGCGACGCCTTTCGTGAAGTATCTATCAAGAAAAATGTTGCACTATTGAGGCGCGAGACAGTGCATTTTTTCTCTGTTATTGTGAATTTCACCATGAACATCATTCAATTCGAAGTGCTTCGATCTAATGATACCATGCTTAGTAAGAAATCCATCCAATCAAAAATAATCAGCCGATAGCCGCTACTCCCACAGGCTCTGACTAAGGATCCCGTACATCGCCCAAGTGCGGAGGAGCTCCTTCTGCACCCATGGATTCAAGGCCACATCGATTGGGTCCCCAGCACCGATTTCGAGGATCCCATTCCAGACTCCCATGCCACAATCTCGCACGCAATGTTCGTCGGAAAGACGGCTTTGTCGGCTCAGAGGACCACCAAACAGAGCACATTCAGGGTAGGCAGTTGTGTTTTCAGGTCACTGCTGTCAAACGAAGAGACATAGATATATGTTGAATACAACACTGTGTTAATTCAACTGGGTGCTGCATCATGATTGTCTCATAGTGTGACCATGAATATCACTCGTTTGCCATACTTGCAGTGACGCAGAAACATAAAGCCCCTGGTGTACAAGAAACAATCCCGTATGCACGAATTTCGCAGTAAAAAGTGTAGGCGTTCATTTTCGGAGAATCGTTGCCAAGCGATGGTACGATCTTGAGACGTTTTCTTTGGGACTTTCTTCTGGTATGTTTCAGAGCCGTAGTACAATCTGTGCCTATGTTTTCGAGAACTTACCTCAATTTGCTTTAGGGGCTAATGGCAAACTGAAGCAGTGTATTGTAGAGGTGTACAAATGCTTTCCAGAGTGGGCTTTGTCGCTGTCGATCTTGCCGTGATGCGCTTTTCGAAGCCATGCTTTGTTAACAATAAACTGTTGTTTGCAATTTAAACAATGAACGTTCTGGGATAACTGTCCAATAATTTATCTGACATTTTGCTTTGATTGTTTGTAGAAATTGACAACAGTTGGGTGCACTAATCACACTTTGACCAATACCAATAAACACCAATCAAATAAATTCAATGGTTAGATGTTAATCCGGTCATTCACTTTCTTTTCTGATATGTGCTTGAAGATTTCGTTGTACGACAAATACTGCAAATACATGCTTCGGCTACATGTACATTAAACCAAATACTTTGGTGACGGAGCCCGGTCAATATCTGGCAAATGGGTTGTTCTCTCTTGCAATTGAAATCATGGCTCCCGTGTGATGCAGAAATTGCGGTCGTCAGTAACAGACATGCCATTGCCAAAGGTGCCCAGGTGAGAAAGGGTCAACAGCTCTTGGACTTGAGGTATCCACCACTGTATTTTGCACATTTCAAAAGGCAAGCATACATTTCTGTGCCACATCATGAAGTGCTTATGCTCATATTTGTTAATTACATCTAAGGGGGAGATAATTAAACTGACTTCATTATTCTCAACTCCGCGTGTTTAAAAGTATGCCTGTAAAAGCGCCTGCAAAACGCAAAACAACACATTGCGTCGACGCAACCATGTTACGCGAAGTCCCAGACAAATGTTCAGTCCGCCACCCACTCAAACATTCCCAACACAGCGGCCACCTTGCTATTGCAAAGGGCAAAGACGCTGCCGAATAAACGGCGGCCCTCAGTACACTCTGCTGCGTGGCTTCCAGCCATCGCTCATGAGTAAGCTGCAGTAGCAGCAGCTGGCCTGTATGCCCTTTACATCCGAAGGTGCTTCTCGGCTGGTCCGAACTGCACCTTGGGTGGCATGGCCAGCGTGGCGGCAGTCAAACAGCAAACAAGGGCCGGACCAAGCACATGGCGCATAAATACGCGTAATTTATGGCTAAATCACTGGTATTATAGATGCCGCGACACTTCCATGGATGCCCTCCGGCCTGGAGTCTTGCCACGTCTCAAGTGCATCTCTCGAGCTTGGCGAAAGGCCCCATACCATGGATATCGAATACGATATGGCGCCATATCCCAGACATATACGGATACTCACATCCAGCTTATGGCTATGTTTATGGATATGCGCTGGGTGTGGTCGCCCATATCCTGAGTTAAAACCATTCCCTGGGTGCTGCAATCCAGGAAACGCACTTTTCCGAAACACATCTGGCGCCTAGCTGCCCGAGCTCCATTGAGTTCGGCTCACCCTGGCTCGCAGACTCTTTGGGTGTATCGCTGCCGTGTGCTGTGAGCCAACGGCTCGCTTCAAAGGTCAATGCTAAAAGCGCAAAACAGCGAATATCTAATCGCGTCCAACATGTGTGCTTATGTGCCTTCCTCTACACCGTGGTTCGAATTCGATTTTGGCCAAATTCTCTGCCGCGCCAATGTTAACTTCGCTTCCGTGAGTCGATGTGGGCGAGCAGACCTTTCCGTCACATGTGCCGCGCAAACTCGGAATGGAGCACACTTCCAATGTGGTGTACTGTGCACAAATATCAAGTCACTGCAGGCAGGGTGCATGTGCACGCCAATGTGTCCATGCATAATACTTCGGTATGCTCTACTTCAAACACGTTGCAAATTGTACTGCATAGACAATAATGTGTCTATTCATTTTTGGGAGCATATTGGGCTTCAAATATTTTATGATTTGTTTGATATATACGATATTTGTTATTCGTGGAGTCCAACACGGCCGACACAGCGACCTGCTGACCGATGGACTGCTGCGCGGTGGAACTTTGATAAGGCAGCTGTCTCGCGGCGTCTCTGGAATATTCCGGAATGATGACGCCGCCGCGAAGGCCCACAAGAGCCCCCTTGGGGCGCTGGCGGTGCTGTGGGGAAAGGGCTGCCGGAGCGGCGCTGGG